AGAATTTGGTAAACTGGACCACACTGCAACTTGGATTCTACTCTATCTTTGAAGCGTGCAAAACTTGATTTCTTGTTTATCTGAAAGCGGATAAAATCGGTATTACGGAAATTAAAACCTAAGTTATCGCAGTTGAACGTCTCACCGTTAATATGGGCAACAATAGTATAATTTTGTGAATGATCCTTGTTGTTGAGGTATGTTTTTTATGAGTTATGGATGTATACTAGTAATGCGACCTACACATACGATTAAATAGACTGATATTCTGCATGCATGCGCCACCCTAGGTGGCTAATCCTCCTATTTTCTCATGCATGCGTGACCCTAGGTGGATTATCCTCCTCTTTATGTATGCACGTGCCACCTAGGGTGGCTTATCCTTCTCTTTTTGCATGCATGCGCCACCTAGGGTGGCTTGTCATTGAACAACAAAACTTGTATGCATGCTATCTGATCCCTGCCACGCTGCAGGTTTGCATGTATGCAAAAAGAAAGAAGCCATGTTGAATGGTGCCTATGTACAATAAAGAGAGCATGCGCCACCTAGTGTGGCACATATGTGTAATAAGGAAGAGCATGCACCACCTAGTGTGGCGCCTGTAACACCCGAGGCCGGAGAGGGTAGAGGGTGGTTGCACCGCATGTGTAATACTCGAGGCCGAAGAGGGCTATAAGTGGTGTCACATCAGAATGAGAGGTATCTTGAGGCTATGCAAGTATGGGACTGCATGGTTTAAGAAAGGCTTATAAGGATTAATTTGTACTACCTATACCAACAAGATGTATCTTCTTTTCGGTAGCTCATTCATAAGAACTCCACAGTTAAGCGTGCTTGACTTGGAGCAATTCTGGGATGGGTGACCTTCTGGGAAGTTTCCTAGAAAGCGTGTGAGTGAGGATAAAGCATGCTGAAAAGACCCGTGTTGATTTGTGGGGTCAGTCGGTAATCCTGAAGGAAGTATGGGGAATTACAAATGGTATCAGAGTCAGATCTCTCCCAGTACGATGTGGTTCGAGGATGAACCATGCGGAAGCTGGTGGGCATGTAACACCCGAGGCCAGAGAGGGAAAAGGGTGGTTGCACCGCATGTGTAATACTCGAGGCCGAATAGGGCTATAAGTGGTGCCACATCGGAAGGCTTATAAAGATTAATTTGTACTACTTATACCAACAAGATACATCTTTTTTTCGGTAGCTCATTCATAAGAACTCCACAGTTAAGCGTGCTTGACTTGGAGCAATTCTGGGATGAGTGACCTTCTGGGAAGTTTCCCAGAAAGCGTGTGAGTGAGGATAAAGTACGCTGAAAAGACCTGTGTTGGTTTGTGGAGTCAGTCGGTAATCCTGAAGGAAGTATGGGGCGTTACAGCGCCTATGTGTATAAGTTGCATGCAAAGTGTTCTTCAAGATTTTCCTATAAATACATGTAACATTCACCCTATATTTTCATCACAATCATAACTCATACACTATTTCTTTCTTGAAGTATCAACAACAACACAAGAGTAATCAAGAAAAAATATCTCTCTTGACCATGGGTGATCAACATAGAGGAACTCCGAACAACATTGAAACCTTTGTAAGTGTATTTTCCTCAATACCTATTTTTTGCTGACAATTTTTTGTTCCTTAATTCTTATGATTGTTATACCTAAATCTTGTATTTCTTATACGTAATTCATGTTTTTAATAGGATGTTAAAAGATTTCATTGTCGTGTTCATGAGTATGTCCCTTACGATGTTCAAATTAAACCGTACTTACGACATGTCGGTTTTGGTCCGTTACTCAACATAGTCAATTACCATGTTGACTATAAAATTATTCTCGCATTAGTGGAAAGATGGAGACCCGAAACTCACACCTTTCATCTTCCATGTGGTGAATGTACAATCACACTAGAGGACGTGTACATGTTATTCGGTCTATCGATCAACGGTAAGGCTATCAATGGCCGAGTCAACCAAGACAACGCCATATGCGAAGAACTTTTGGGAGTCTCTTTATTTGAACAAGGATCAAGAGGCCAAGGTATTAATCTCCATCTTCTTAGAGAATATCATAGTAGTCTCGTAATAACCAAAAACTCTACCGAGTAAGAAAAAATTGTGAAAGCTCGGTGTTACATAATGATATTATTTGGCCATTTTTTATTTCCTGAAACAACTGGTAATACTGTTAATATCATGTATTTATCCTTGTTAAGACAATTTGATAAAATAAACACATATAGTTGGGGTTCAACTGTTTTGGCCCATCTGTATAGTTCCTTGTGTAAAAATGCATCGAACGATAACTGTTCTTTCTATTCTTGCACCTTTTTGCTCCAGACATGGTGCTGGCCGAGAATGCTGAAACTCGCCCCCGCAATACAAGGTCATTCGTCTTCCCCTTTGCTACAAAGTAAGATTACAAAACCATAAATTTTACATATTATATACCAAGACATGTAGTGTATTAATTTATTACCCATTTTTTCTATGTAGGTGGTCTGTTCCTGGAATGAATTACAACAAATCCCCTAGAAACGCAATAGTAGTCTACCAAAATCTTATTGATCATGTTGGATCCAGAGATGTATTAAACTTACATATTTTATACAACGCATTCAATATTTTAATTAAGTTTAATATTTTATATAACTTTTTTTACTCTATAGTTTGTATGGAGACCGTATAAGGATCTCGACCATGAGATTAACCCTCCCGATGCTAAAGTCTGGACTACAAAAACAATACTCATCAGGTTCACTACTGTGGAGATGCACCACCGTGATCGTGTGAAGCTACAGTTCGGCATGTAACAGGGTATCCCCGACCCCCTAACATGTTTGGGCCAATGGCATCTACTCAGAGTTGACGACCAGTGGGGATTTAATGATTTGAGAGACTTCGCTAAAAATCAATGTCGTCAATGGAGGCATAGACGTGAATTAGTCCTAAGGGAGTCGATCTTGCAAGATGACTTAAAACCGACGCTCCAATATTTGAGATGGTACACATCAGTTTCAACAAATTTGTTTTTGTCTCAAGAGACTTATTTGATTGACCCACACCAAAGAGCTGCAACATACGCCCAACATCAACCCCAACAACCAACCCCTCAACAATACCAACCCCAACAACCAACCCCAACAACCAACCCCTCAACAATACCAAACCCAACCACAATGTCGACCCACTCAAACCCAACAACCATACACCACCTCATTCAACCAAACTCGTCATCAATTCATGTCACACACACAAACATAATACCAAGAGCATGACCCGACCCACCACTAACAATATGCACCATCCTCATCCTACCACAACACCCAAGACACATATGATACATCTCCTTCCTACCATACCACTCAACCTACATACAGTCAAACATCATACCATCGAAGTACCCAACCATCATACGGATTTCATACACCACAAGAACCCTTGCTTCGTTTTCATCAAGATTCAACATCCCAATACTATCAACCACCCCATCACACACACACATATCCCAACCAACAAGACCAAACTTAAACAATATGGGCATCGATCTCTTTGGAAGCACAACAGAGTGGGGAAAAATGATTGATGAGATGTATGATCCTGATATACCAGGACCATCACATCAAGCACCTCATAATCAAGCAAGTCAGAGCAGACCACAAACACCTCAGGAAAATCAACAGAGAGGAGTGAGACAAGGGACGAGGCAAAGGCGCGGCCGTTTATGTCATACGGGGACCCGATTAGGTTGAGGGGACGTCAAAAAAAATGTATACATGCGTTGTGTAATATTAAATATAAATATAAAATATTTTTAATTTTTTTTATTTTATTTAAAAAAAATTGCAATTACACTGTCAAGCTAAGGAGGGTGGCGCCTCCTCTCAAAAACACATGCATGCGCCACACTGCATGGCTTTACAGAGGAGGACAAACCATGCAGTGTGACGCCTCCTCTTTAAATTGAGTGCATGCATCACACATAGTGGCTACTCCTCTGTGTGACAAAGTTTTTTTGTTTGAAAAGTGATCATTTTGGTAAATTTTTTAAAAATGTGGTTATTTAGAATTTTTTTTTTTAAAAAATGATTATTTAAAAAAAAATCTCAAAAAACATATATCATTTTATTATTTTACTCAATTAGCCTTTTACTTTGTATGTCATCTTAGAAAATAAAATTCAATTATTTGTTTTTTTACTGTGTCCAATAACATTGTGGCAGAATGATAGATAGAGAAATAATTTAATTAAAATTTTGCAAAATTGCTTAAAATATTTTTGTGAGTGTTTTATTCTATGAATTAATTTAATTGGAATGATTATGTGAAATAAATTAAAAGTTAAAATAATTTTAATTGATAGATTTTAGTTAAGAACATTTTAATACTTTTACAAATAAATTATACTTCTTTCTTCTCTATTTCTTCTATCTTTCACTTATATCAATCAACACATTAAATCACTTCTATTTCTCACTTATTTTTTTCTTTCCATTCTTTCTCACATCTTCTTCCCTTTTCATTTTCTTCTGGTTGCCAAACACCCTTAGGGAAAAAAAGAAAGAGAAGCCAAATAAACAAAAATAATAGGGGCAATTATCAAGTGCGGATTCATCAGAACAGTCATACCTAGCCATCAAGAAATGACACACTCATCAAGAAGATATAACCTTCACAAACTTACACGTGTCAACATTATTTTTATTTTCTCATTTTTTTTCCTTCTCGTGCCAATATTCTAATAGCTAGGATTAGAGCATTACACTTTCCTTGCATTCAACTCATTCACACCGTGTATAAAAATAAAAGCAATTCTGAAAAATAATTTTAATATATAAATAAACTTCTGAAGAATAAAAATCTTCAGCAACATCTTCCATTTCGTTCGTCTCTCAAGTCAAGACGTTAAACCACACTTCGCAACCACCGTCGTCGTTTTCCTCCGCGCTCTACTCCTCCGCCACCACCGGCTGATATAGTTTCTAGGTTTCGCTTCGACTACACGCAATGCCGGCACAGAAGCGTTCTTTCGAAGAGGCTCTCGAAGAGAATGAAGACTCTGAGAATGAGATAAACGACGACGAGCAACCTAAAGATGAAGACGGTAGGTGTTATTTTTCATATCTAAATCATGTAACTGTTTTTCTGCATTTTGTTATGAATTCGTATGATTTGTTTCGGTAGTGATCGTCGTTGTTTATTCGTTTTCTTCAGAATCGGATCAAAGCCATTCTTCATCTGACGACGAAGAAGATGAATCTGAAGATGAAGAGGAAGTGGAAGAGTATGTCAACCTGATTTATCGTTCTGCATTTCTTCTCTCGTATACTCTTATTATGATTTATCGTTTTATTCTTTGATTCTTTGATATTGGATTATTGTATCGCTTGAGTTTTCGTTGTGGATTTTGATTATGTGTATACTCATTACTCATATGCATGCTGTCTGTTTAATTTGTTTGTTGTGGCTAGTTTTTGGTTAACTTTTCACGATTTTGTTTGCGTGTGTGGGTGCGTTTGGTTGGTTGGATTGTTTCTGCTCTTTCAATTTTTTTTGTGGAGAAATCTAAGATTACTGCACAGACAGACGACGAGCTTTACCTAACAATAGTGTGATATGGAAGCGTTCTAAATTATTCTTATATTTTTTAATAACTTGAGAAGCATTTTACTTAACATTAACCTTGAGACCATGGCACTAGGTTTTTTGTTAGAATCTAATGACATTTTCTTGGTAAGCTATATGCTCAGCTAATAGAGTGATCTTCTGTGCAGTCATGAGATGAAATATTTTTTGGATTTCGACGTTGCTTGAAAAAGACACTTCATTTTGAAATGAAACTGTTTCTATTTTGTCCTTGATATGATTTTTTTTAAGGGTTGTATGTGCCGGAATTTATCAAAATCCTCTGAAAATTATTTTAACATCATTCCTTCTGAAACCCCACCCTTTCTAATTCTAGTATGACCATATTTATTAAATCCAGTACATTAAAGTGGTTCTTATCTGTCTGAAGAGTTCTGCTATGTTAGCAAATTTCTTGACCTAGAGTGATGGAACAATCACTAATACCTGTATATTGTTGTTTATTTGAAGATATGTGGCTATAAAATTGTCAGATGTACGCAAGGAAGTTCAGTGTCCTATCTGCCTTGGTATGTAATTCCTAACTGATAACTGATGCTAGAATTGCTTAATTTATTACTGCTCATGTTGATTTGTTTCTGTAAGTTTTTTACTTGGTATGATGATGGTTTTAATTTCTAGCTATGGATAGATAATCACGATTAAATTCAACTTTCATTAGCTCCTTTTTATCAGTCTTGTATCCACCCTCCCACATGATGCATAAAAAGGTTGTGAGTGACTGTAAGCAGTCTCTTTATCCACTGCTAATTCGTGATACTTGATCCTCCACTATCGATTCGTGATACTCGAGTCACCACTACATAGCTAGTTGCGTTATATGAAGAATTTAAGGATATAATGTCTAGCTTCAATTATAGTTGTGTTTATTTTTGTAAGAGTTCACTGCATTGAATTTGTTCATTAACTGGGATGTATATTCACAAACATGTTAACATAAAAGACATGTCTGTAAGTGGACATCAAGTCATCAACGACATATTATACAAGTGAAGTTGAAAGAAAATATGATCATTGATATGTCACCTATATAGTTCTGATTTCTTAGAATATACGACTCATGTAGTATTGGATTAAATGGTTCTTTGACTCTCTTAACAAAACAAAAAAAATTGAAAAATACACACTTGAGTTGTCATACCTATCTTGCAGATAGACAATTGTCTTTGGTTCTATGCCTGTTTTTTCCCCTAATAATCCAAATGCTGGACAGATTTCACATCTATTGATGTATAAACCTAAGGTTATACAACAACCCACTATTTTCCCGAGCTTTTACTCTACATAATGAATAGAAATTAACTCACCACTTCTATATCCTCTTGAATTTGAAAGGAAAAAAAAAACTCAATGTTGGTTTATAGGTAGCATTAGAAGTTAGCGACAGGTGAAAGATGACAAGAGGAGAGCAAGATGGATGTGTGAGTGATACAGTATGTAACAATAAGGTGTAGCAGTAGGGCTAATGTTGTAATAGCACATACTGCTGCCTAGCGGGCAATGCATTTGTTTTTAATATTCACAACTTCTGTATAAGTCGTACATGAGATTTACAACTTCCTTGATGTGATTGAAATTGTTGATGGTAATTGTGATTTTAAGTAACTCATTCATTCCCATATGGAACATATATCTATATATAAATGTGTGGTAGTATACTAAGATAAGTCAGATTCTGCATCATAATTTTTTATGGTTTATAATGGTCAAGTAGTATACTAATAGATGATTGATTTCATTATACGTGTAGGCATCATTCGAAAAACAAGAACCGTAATGGAATGCCTTCATCGCTTTTGTAGAGAGTGCATAGACAAATCCATGCGCCTTGGGTTTTTCCTCTAACTGCCATCATCTACTTAATCTTTTTACATATTTGTAGTTGGGATGTTATTGGTATATTAGCTGTAAATTTTTATTATTCTGGACTGGTTTTACACTTTTACTGCAGTAATAATGAATGTCCTGCTTGCCGTACACATTGTGCTAGCCGACGCTCACTGAGAGATGACCCGAGCTACGATGCCTTGATTGCTGTTATGTATCCAGATATTGACAAGTACGAGGAACAGGTAATATATACATAATTTGTCAGTAAAAAAATATTTTATCTGAACAAAAAACTCATTAACAAAGTATTGTCCTAGGAATTGGCTTTGCATGAGGATGAGATGGCTCGCCATAAGCAGGTAATATTTCACTCACATTTTTTAAACATGGATATCTTATTTAAAAAAATCAAGTGAGTTTCCTATCACATTACAGAAAATAGAAAATGTGAATTATGCCATTATACCAAAGAAAACTAATAATTTGATAGCCAAAAAACTGTCTTGTTTATGCAATGAGTAAATTCTTCACTTCAAGAATCACTTCATTAATGTTGATTAGAGATGCTTATAAAGCTTCGGTTGCACCACATGCTTTGGGGATAGGGTAACATTTTATGTAAGTTTAATACCCTAATCCTATTGTCCAAAATAGTATTTTGGACATCCATAGAGACTAGATATCATTTTTGCAGTGGGGTGCTAGTTTTGCCTCAGCTGTTTAAATATGCAGCTCTATAAATCAGACAGATGGCAGTATCCCTCAGTATATAATCCATCAGGAAAATAGTCAAATCATAGTTTTCCTCTATGTGATTGTGCATTACTTTCCAACAGTGACAACAGATTCAATGTTTAAAAGAATTGAATACTTTGTGCAGTGAACAGAGTTTTGTTATGGTGTGAATAATCAAGAAAGTTATGGATCACTGTTTACCTTTATTTTTCATCTGCAAGATATTTTACTTTGGCTTGTGATATTAATAATTCAAGAGTTTTATCTTCTTTTTATTTTTTATTTTCTTTTATCAAGTTTCAAGCATCCATTGCCCAAACACTACAACGGCAATCAGAAGCTTTGAGCAAAAAAAGAAATGCCAAAGCAACATCAGTGGCTTTTGTGAGGAGATCCCAAGGCAACTCTCGAACTTCGAATCTGAAACGTCGAAAAAAGTTTAGAAATGCTGATGACTTTCAGGTATCTAATGACAACAAGCGTATGGATGATAATGATGGAAGAAAGGGATCATCTTCTGATGATGGGCAGACAGAAACCCAGCCACGAAGATGCAAAAGGGGCGGTGAACAAGAAGCACAATTTCCTCAGCATTCTCCCTCTACTGATCCAGATGGAGTTGGGGATGAAAATACTCCAGAAGTAAATAGGGAAATCCTAAGTGCATCTGGCACACTTTCCTGGGGGAAAAATGGTCACCGGAGTCACAGCCGAGTCAATGGAAAGAATGCCAAATACAACCGCATCTCCAAATTGGTTGAACATATTCGTACCTCAGCAGAAAATGGTTATGAGGTAAATCTTTTTTCTAGTAGTAATTTTTTTATTAAAGAAAAAAATTAGATTCGAGGAAACATAGAGCCTCGTACAAGATCAATGAGAACTACTAACCTCGATAAGAATTTACAATAGAATTTACGTACAGCCTACCGACTAGAGGATTCTGGACTTTAACCAAGTTACAGTGAGTGTGAGTAGAAGGTTCAATCATCTTTGCCAATCTTGGCTGTTTTTTTCTTTCTTCTAGTTGTTGTTTAAAAACTAGTGGACTAAAAATTGTGAGAACCTCTGGCCTTCAAGGTTGCTCAAACTATTTGAGAATTGAGACATGTACTAACATTTAGACATGTACTCTGGATTCATCTAAATGGTTGCTAATTCCATGTTATTATAATTTTGTATGTGTTGCGTTGGGGTTATCATATTTGCTTTAGTGCTCGTACTGAACATTGATAGGATCATTGATTTGGTGTAAGTTATTTCAGCTTCCTACCTTTCTCATGCTTGTCTCGTTGGATGAGCAAAAAATACCAAGTTTGGAGGACCCATGCCTTACTTGCAAGCCTACCTTGTCAGTCAAGATACTGCGCAAGGTTGTCCTCTCTTTCCTTGAACGGCATTTCTATCTAGTCTATTTCTTATTAAGCATGACTGTTTTTCAATCCACAGCATGTTGCAAATCAAACTGCCATGCATGAGGATGAAGTTGAATTGTGGTTGATACTCAAGCCACGATCTAGCTTTGAAGAAGGTGGAGGAACCATTGATCCAAACACAGATGATTTACGCATTCTAGAAGACCAAGAAACATTGGCTGAATTGCTGGGAACTTATGAAAATACCAGCCACGGTTATCTGGTAAACTCTCAAAATTGATTATGTTCATATACATAAACATCTTTTCATTTTCATCTTCCCATTGTTACAGTGCTGATCTTTGCTCTCCTGTTAGCTGACCTTTCTCCCGGTTATTGACAGGTCATGGCTTACAAGAGGAAGTTGAAGAATTCAGACATAGTTGAGTTAAGCTGAATGATGAACAGTCACCCGAATCCTTCTTTGCCAAGCTCTCTATTATACAGAGCTATAAATATATCTCAGTTTTCTTATATTCTTTATTTTAATACTTTCCCCTGACTAAAGAGGGGGTGAACCCTAAGTTGTTCAGCGCCCAGTAAATTAGAACCACATGTGTGCAATTTCCAATCCTCGGGTTTCTTAAACCTTTATAATTTTTATAGGGGAAACGTACTATCTCCTGAAATTGTGTTTAATGGTTTAGTAATCTTCAAATGTCACCATAATTGGCTTATTTTTATACAAGCTTGGTTAGTATATACTTTTAGAATCAAATTCCAAGTCAGACTTTATTAATAATTATAAGGCCTTAATCCATGCCAAAGGAAGAAAGTTATTCACCAGGAGCACACAGCCATGATGGTATGATATAGGATTCTTTGCAGTTCCAAACTGTAGCTTCCCCTCGTCTTGAGTCTACTTTGAATGCATATATGGCGTGATGTCTATGTAGTTATGTTTGATTGAGTAAAATGGGGGGTGTTTTGTCTTTGTTTCTTATTGTTTGAAATGGTAGCTTTGTTGTTGCCGTGTTTGGGGCTACGGATAGAGCTCTGCTACTGAAAACTGAGGATGATATATTAGAAGGCAAATGGTCGTAGAGACTAGTGCTTGAACACCGATCGATGGGGTGGGCAATGCTCAAAATGGTAATTGCCCGCAATGGTGTCAAGAATCAAGTAGTATAGTTCTAACTAATACATGCAAACATGTAATGCAGAGACTGAATTATGATGTAAGTCTAGAGTATTAATTTTCATGCATTCATCCACCGTGACTCCAATAAATGATCTTCATTTCTCCCAACCAAAATAAAACTTAAAGTCCATTAGGTGTCATTTTACTTACTCTTCTATTAACACAGCAAACAACTTTGCAGCAAAGAAATGAAATACCTGTGAAAGTCTTCCTAATCCATCACGTGACAGCTATTAAGGCTCATCTAATTTCACTTTCCTAAAATGCCTCATTACTACCACACAGTGCAAACCGCTCCTATTCAATCTATTCACGTTTCATTGCCTTTGTCTGGCAATTTCTCCTCTTTACTAAAGAAAACTCAAATCCCCATTTTCAAAATATCCATGCAGATGCTCCTCATCTCCTCATTTTTCTCTCAATACAACTCACATACTGATAATAAAAATAATAATAAAGGACATGCCATTCTTTCTACTCAAGAACTCTTTAGGAGCCAAGATGAAGAAAGGCATAAGAACTTTTTGCAACACGGATGTGTCAACCTCAACTCTCAACCAACAAAATAGTACTATTGGCAATGGCATAGGCAACCATAGCCAAGTTGACATCACAAGTAGCAAGGTAAGCTCCCCTATTTTGCAATGTGAGAATTCAAATTCAAAGCAAAGCACACCAACACTAGAAGATCTTATACTACAATTAGAAATGGAAGAAGAGATGGCAAGGAAAGAAAAACTCAATGAATATAGTGGAATAAGGGGAAGAATGTCAAGTGTTAATAACTCTGACATCTTAAGATCTGCAAGGAATGCTTTGAATCAATACCCAAGGTTTTCACTTGATGGAAGAGATTCCATGTATAGGTCATCTTTTGGAACTATAGAAGGAAGAAGATCAGTTTGTAGTGAGAGAAGTTTAGAACCAAAGGTTGATGAAAAGGTTGTATGTTTTCCCACAACAATTGCAGGGGAGAGTGTAGTTTGGTGTAAACCAGGGGTTGTGGCAAAGTTAATGGGTTTGGAGGCTATTCCAGTGCCAGTAAGTAGAAAAAGATGTGACAACAAAGACAAAATAAGTAGTGTTGGTTTAAGGAGGCAAAACATAAGGAGGAGATCATTTGAGAGGCATGATTTGGAGAGAAAATTAGCAATGGACATGCAGGGTTATCGTGATCATATTGTTAGAAGAAGAAATAGGTCTGGTATTTGCTCTAACAATGGATATTGTATTATGAAACCGGTTTCTCTAGAATCTATGGCAGGTGGTCCTGCTAGTTGGCAGCCAAGGAGATATGCTTAGATTTTAGATTGTTTACTCTAAAACTTGCTAATGTAGTAAGGACTTTAATTCTATTTGAAGTTATGCTTATTATAATGCATGTAATGTAATGCCTCACAAGGCTAATAATCACACAAGTTTTTATCAATTTGATTTTTCTTTTGCTTTTAGTATATATATGTATGCCAAACTATTTTCATTGGTGATCACGACAACCATGATCAACTTTGATGTTTCAAGAATCCTCATTGATGGAAGGAGTTCTTGTGATATATGTATGTTGAATTATTCACCGTTAGGTTTAGAAGAGCAAAAGACTATCACCTTATATATGGTTTTTACTAATATGCATGGCTTCAATAGAGCGGTTACCCGCCCTTGGAGGGCTTCATCAAATTTATGGTTACCTTGGAGAAAGGAGGGATGTTAGGACGGTGGACATTTGATTCATGGTAGTCCCGTGTAAAATAGTTTAGAGCATCTTAAGAAGGTCTTGCATAGCAACTTTATAAACACTTGCATATACCGTCCATTTAAAGATGAAGTACCACAATGTTCATGACAAAGTGATAATCATTTGGTTAAAAGAATGTAGATGTAGTATACCAACTAATGATGAATAAAGAGATTGGGGATATGTTAAATGTATACATGAACGTCATGATAGTCAAGTATGTGGAGGAGCGGTTACATGAAATCCACCTTGCCAATGTTTTCAACCATGTCTAGCTCTACAACATGAGGCTCAACTTGGAGAAGTGCACCTTCGAAGTTAAAGGCGTTAAATTATTAGGATTCCATATTATAGAGAGAGGAATTAATGCCAACCTAGATGAAAAAATCTGAACGAAATGCTCACCTACCTCAGAAAGTTAATATCAAGATCATCCCGACACGTGTTTCCGTTGTACAGACTCCAAAGAAAAAAGTGAAATTTGAATGAACACTGGAATGTGAGGAAGCCTACATACAATTGAAACTCGCCCTCACCAAGCCCTCAGTACTATCAAGGCCTGTGGCATGAGAGATGTTGTTCAACTAAGATGGAAAAGTTGGATTTAGAGTAAGAAAGTATTATACCCTGCAATGAAGAAAAATAGAGAAAACATGATCTCTACCAAGTCAGCTACAAGGGATCCATATGGGAATAATTCTATTAGCACTTATTTGAAAATGATGGGGCCAAGAAAAGGATTGAGAACACACATGACTAGCACCGAATTGAGGGACCACATATGCAATTGAGCTAGTTTATAAAGAATAATTGATAATATTGTTATTTTATGCAAATTGTGAGAATTGTCTATATTCTCTTTTCTCTCTCATACTCTATTTTCCCCTAATTTGCATTTGTGTACTTCTTTATGGGTTTTATCTGGAAGTGATTTTAATTCCATTAATACAAGTGTTACTTTTCCCTTTAAACACTTTTGCTTAGTTCATTTCATTGGTGTTTTCATCTCACCATGGCAGAAAACACCCGAATGAAGGAGCTCGCTGCAGAGGTCAAGTGCAATGTTGAATCGATTGAGAAGATGTACAGCGATTTCCATGCAGCAGATGGACAAAAGAGAAATCACAAACGTCTCTCGACTCGAGCGAATGGAAGCGATGCAGATGGATACCGATATCAAATTTGCTCAGATCCACAATGCGCTCGATCTTCTTTTGAACCAGAGCTCCCCGAAACCTTCCCATGGTACTGGTAACTCAAGAAAACAATCATTTCAGGTGAGAAACATTAAGCTCGAATTTCCTCGTTTTGATGGCAGAAATGTTTTGGAATGGATATTTCGTGCGAAGCAATTTTTTAATTATTATGGCACCCCAGATCCAGACCGGTTAACCATTGTTTCTGTACACTTGGACAGGGATGTAATTCCTTGGTTACATATGATGAAGCACTCTCACCCATTTTGATCTTGAAGTGAGTTCCCTCGTGCCTTATAGTTGGATTTTGGACCGTCAATTTATGAGTGTCCAAGAGCTACATTATTCAAATTGAGTCAAAGTGGTAGTGTAGCTGATTATTATTTGTAGTTTACTTCATTAGCTAAAAGAGTTTATGGCTTGAGTAATGATGCAATGATATATTGTTTCATTACTGGTTTAAGTCATGAGATTCGATGCGATGTGATGATTCATTCACCCATTTCGATAGCTAAAGTTGTGTCCCTTGCTAAAGTTTATGAAGAGAAATATGCATCAAACACTAAAGGGTTAATACCTATTTTCACCCCTGACATATGGGGTGTATTTGAAAAACCCTCTGCCAAAAAAAAAGTTCCAATTGTTACCTTGACAAATTTTAAAAGTTTCAGTTTTTACCTTGAGGATGCCACATCACCTAAAAGGCTGATGTGGCTTATATTTTTGTTACATTTGTAAGTTTTTGTTATGCCATGTCACACAATACCAAATAAAATGTCCAGAATGCCCTTTTCTTAAAATCCCAAATTATTTGGCAAATGTTATGTTTCAATTCAGACCCTCCAAATTAGGGCGCAGCCATCCATCTTCATTTGTTTGCAAAATTATTTTACAAAAAAAGCCAGTTTCAATTCAGACTCTGCGATTAGGGTTCTTCATCCTTGCAAATGGGTGTGTTTAATTTAGTGTTTCATCATGGGGGAAGTTTCGTGCAAGACGGCCATACGTATTATAGAGGAGGTAGTGAGACTACTGTTGAAGGTCAGGACGAAGATAAATGGAGCTTTTTTGAAGCTGTTAGTCTGGTTAAAGATTGGGGTTATGAAGGTTTTAGGCTATGGAGAAAGATTCTGCAAACGGATGAAGGGTTTACAAATGTTGTTGATGATGCAGGAGCTGTAGAAGTTGCTAAGCATTGTATGTCTTGTAGGGTTCACGACGATCTTTGGGTAGAGCACGGTGTAGAAGACATGATGACCAAGGTTCTGGTACCTAATGTTGATGACTTCAGCACCTCTAGTGGAGATGATAGTACTGGTGACTATGTTGATGCAAGCCAATGTTTCAATGATAGTGAAGAGGAAAGAGTAATTGACGTAGAAGAAGAGCAATTTGAATAAGTGGAGGTAGTTGTTCCAGTTAGTGGGAATAAGGTGGAGATCGAAGGGAAATCATTTAGATTCAAGCGTTGTGCATCCAAGGATCCCAAAAAGATGAAAGAAAAGAGCAAAAGGGACAAGGTCAGACTTTTGGTGCCCAAAAGTGTCTTAGGATCTTGTTCAAAGAGGGCTACAAGGAAATGTGAAGATGTGGATTATGCTAGTGAGGAACTTGAAAGTTCAGATGCTGATGAAAGTGACATGGATGACAAACCTTCCAAGCCAAAGTATGAGAAGTTCAGATCAGAGCTGCTTAACAAAGACTTTCAATTCAAATTAGGTATGGAGTTCATTTCTCTTTCTGAATTTAAAGATGCTATCAGGGATTGGTCAGTATTAAATGGTAGAGAAATAAGGTTTGTTAAGAATGAGAGCTGTAGGGTTAGGGTTGAGTGTAAGAGTAAATGTGGGTTTTTGGCATTGTGTAGCAAAGTGGGAGGTAGCCTCACTTACCAGATAAAGACTTGGGTGGGGACCCACACATGTGCAAGGGTATTAAATAACAAGTCTGCCAATTCCAAGTGGGTCTCTAAGTTAGTGGTTGAAAAGAGGAAGTCACAAGGGAAAGTTAAACTGTCTGAAATTATGTCTGAGCTTAGACAGAAATATTCAGTGGGCATTACCAAAGGGAAAGCTTGGAGAGCCAAAGCTATGGTTGAAGAAATAATTGAAGGTGATGCAAAGGAACAGTATAACATGTTATGGAGATATGCAGCTGAGTTGAGAAAACATTGTGCTGGGAACACTGTCAAACTAAATACTGAGAGACCACATCCAACACTACCACTAAGATTTGGTAGATTTTACTTCTGTTTTGATGGATGTAAGAAAGGGTTTACCAAGGGTTGTAGACCATTTATAGGGGTAGATGGGTGTCATCTTAAGACACAATATGGAGGTCAGTTGTTAATTGCTGTAGCAAGGGACCCGAATGACCAATATTATCCTTTGGCATTTGGTGTGGTGGAGACTGAGACAAAAGAAAGCTGGAGATGGTTTATGCAATTGCTAATGGAAGACATTGGAGAAGAGAGAAAGTATGTTTTTATTTCAGACCAACAAAAGGTACAAATATGCACTAATTACCTTTGTTATTCACATTTATGAAACATGCACTAATTCTGCACTAATATGCACTAATTCTGCTACTGTAGTATGTCTTAATTCTGGTACTGAAGTATGTCTAATTCTGCATGTAATTCTGGCTGCAGATACTCAATGTCACGTTCAATGTTATGACACCGTATCTGACTTTCTATAAGACAGTAAATACAAAAACAGTAAAGAACACAGTCAATTGTTTACCCAGTTCAGTGTGCAACAACACCTACTATGGGGGCTACCAAGCCAGGGAGGAAATCCACTATAAGAGATATTAATTCAGGAATAAACCAACCAGTTTATCTCCTTCACTTAAGACCTACCCAATGCAACTTCAATCTAAGTACAACTTAAACCTGAGTTCCTACTCACTCCCCCTCAATCACATCAGTGGTACTTAAAACAATTGACTAATGATTTAATGAAGACACTCTTCAAAACATACACTTGATTATGCTTCACAGCTTTTTAATCAAGCAACACAAACACTCTTGCTTCACAGCTTTGAGTGATACATAAACCTAACTTGACTTTGCTTCAAAGCTTTAGTCAAGAGACACAAAACACTCTTGCTTCAAAGCTTTGAGTGATACAAAACCCTTACAATTAAAACCTATTCCAAGTCACTTATCACAATGATACTTGCTTGGATTACAATAGTTAAAACTATACAGCTTCTAAAAGATCTTCTGTCAAAAAGGGATAATTTCCAAACAACAGCCCTGTTGAATATATAGCAGCTGCATCTTCAGTTAGGGTTTCCACAAAAGGCTAGGGTTAATTCCGTTTGACCTTAAGACTTGGTCACAGGACTTTATCAACCAGGTTAGG